TAGGTCCTAAGGATTTAACTAGATATATGTTACTGAAACTGAACTTTATTGAAATATTTTCTGGTTGCACTGTGATTTTCCACATTTTGATATGTCATCTAATTTTTGTTCTCAACCTTAAATCTTTTAAACAAAATTAAATTAAAATTAAGCATCTCTGCTTCCCTGCTTTTTGAAGTGAGTTTTTCTTTCTATTAAAAGGATAACACTCCCTCTGGCTGTTTGTGTGGCCTGTTACATGGCTTAAGAGCTTGTAAATTAATATTTTTTTGCAATCTATATTTTTATAAAATGATATATATATATATATATATTGCATGATGAAAATGATATATATTGCATGATGAAAATGATATATATTGCAAAAAGAATTAATTGATATATATTGCAAAAATAATAAGTTCCATTTTTTTCACTTTGTTGGCATATCTCTTAGTTTTGCTCAAATTTATCTTCAATTTACCCATATTTGAAAGAAGAAATTACAACAGGCCTTCCTATCTGTGGGTTCTGCATCTTGAAGATTCAATTAACTGTGGATTGAAATATTCAAAAGAAAATTACACCTATACTGAACATGTACAGACTTTTTTTCTGTTGTTATTTCATAAACAATACAGTATGGATCGATTTACATAACATGTACATTGTATTATGTAATAATAGATGTTTTAAGTACATGCAAACACCATGCCGTTTTATATAAGGGACTTGAGCGTCCTTTGATTTTGACTCCTGTTTTAGTCAATTTTTTTTTTTTTTTTTTTTTTTTTTTGCTGCTGTGACCAAAAGACCTAACAAGAACAATTAGCAGAGGAAAAGTTTATTTGGAGGCTCATGATTCAAAGGTCTCTGTGCATGGATGGTTGACTTGATTGCTCTGGGCCTGTGGTGAGGCAGACTGTTATGGTGGAAGGGTATGACAGGGAAAGAAGCACAGGACACTATACCAGAAAGCAGAAAGAGAAAGAGAGAGAAAGAGAACGCTCCCCTCACCAAGAATTAGATACCCCAAAGGCATTCCCCCAATGACCCATCTTCTCCAGTTACACCCTACCTGCCTAGAGTTACCACCCAATAATTCCTATTAGAGGATTAATGCACTGGTTAGCTGAAAACTCTCAGAACCTAATCATTTCACCTCTGAACCTTCTTGCATTGTCACATATGAACTTTTGGGGACATCTTATTTCTAAACTATAATGGTATCCATGGAGGTTCCTGGAACCAATCCTATGTATACCAAGGAGCAATTATATTTGTTTTTGTTAGGTATGTCAAGCTTCTGTACTCAGAAATTTTTAACAGAACTCCTCTTTTCAAATAATGATTTTCCAAAAAGAAACCTCCTAAAGTAAAAGAAAAATAGAGGTCATCAAGTGATGACCTCAATCTTTCCTCCACTCAGAGACGTTTCTACCTCCTTGCTTTAGTATCCTAAAGCTATCCCTGTTCTGGGTTACCCCCACTTCTGCTTTCCTGGGATCTTTTTTCTATTAATTCTTTCTTTTCCTCTCATTTCAAAAGTTTGTTTTCTCCATTGGCTCTTACTCTTTAACACATTATCATACTTACCTTTTTTCCAATCCTTTTTTTTTTTTTTTTGTAGTTCTAGGAGTTGAATCCAAGAGTGCTCTATCACTAACCTACATGCTATCCTTTTCATTTTCTCTTTAACAATAGGGTCTTGCTTAATTGCACAGGCTGGCCTCGAACTTGTGATCCTCCTGTCTCAGCCTCCTAAGTATCTGGGATTACAGGCATWTGCCATTCCACCCGACCTTTTCTGGACTTAAAAAGAGAAAACTCCCTTAACTGTACATCTCCCTTTAAATAATACCACATCTCTCTTTCCAGCCAAATGTTTGGACAGTGAAGCCCTCAGTTTCTGTCTTTACCTTACCTTCTCATCTACTGTTATGGTTTATGTATGAGGTGTCCCCCAAAAGCTCGTGTGTAAGACAATGCAAGAATGTTCAAAGACAAAATGATTAGATCACAAGAATTTTAACCTGATCAGTGGATTAATCCATTCATATGAATTAACTCRGTGGTAACTATAAGCAGGTAGCATCTGGCGAGAGGAGGTTGATCAGTGGCCTTTGGGGTTTACATTTTGTCCCTGGTGAGTGGAACTCTGCTTTCCTCTGCCATGCCCTTCCACCATGATGTTCTGTTACTCCTGGGTCCTAGAGCTATGAAGTCAGCCAACCATAGACTAAACCTCTGAAACCATAAGCCCAAATGAACTTTTCCTCCTCTACTTTGCCCTTGTCAGGTCTTTTGATTATGGTGACAGAAAAGCTAACTGAAACACCTACTATTCACTTCTCCCTGTTGTCCAACTGGCTTACACTCATCCTCAGGCATCCAGTTATTATAGAAAATGTCATTTGTAACTTTGCTGCCTCTTGGCAGCATTCAGCTTTACATGGCATTTACTGATTGCCTACTGGCTAGCCACTGTGCAAAGTGCTGCCATTACAGAAATGAGAGGCAGGTGCCATCCCCTTTTCTTTGGGACTCATGATTCCTGATGAGCCATTACTGATCCACCTTCCTTCTTTGACTTGCACTGCTCACCTTGGCAGGCTTCACTTTATGCTCCCTATTCTCCAAGTCTCCTTCCTTCCCATACCTCCCATCTCTTCTTTATTATATGTCTTTTTTTTTTTTTGAGAGAGAGAGAGAGAGAGAGAGAGAGAGAATTTTTAATATTTATTTTTTAGTTTTTGGTGGATACAACATCTTTATTTTATTTTTATGTGGTGCTGAGGATTGAACCCAGTGCCCCGCACATGCCAGGTGAGCGCGTTACCGCTTGAGCCACATCCCTAGCCCAATTATTATATGTCTTCTTAAGATAACCACTTCTATACCCACCCGACTTCAATTACTGTCTATTTTCACTGATGACACTATAACTTGAGCTGTTTTAATTTAACAGTTTTATTTTACACAAGATATATCATTTGCTAAAACCATAAATTCCAAGTTGCTTCTTGGAAGTAATCACCAAAAACATTTAAAAAAAAAAGAAAGATATAGTATTCTTAGCATGTAAGTTTCAGGAAATTTCTCCACTCCTTTTGATTTAATTTAATGTGTATTATTTTTAAAAGCATAACCTGATAACTCGGGATGCCATAAAATAGACTTATCCTATAGAGGCTTATATGCAACTTTGACTTAACAGAGTCAAAAACTATCTTCTTCCCCAAACCTATTCCTCATCCTGCATTCTCTGTCTCCACTATCTATTGAGTCCCCCCCAAAAGAGGGACCACTATCTACTGGGTCCCCCAAATCAGAACCTTAGGAGTATTTTTTTTTGCCTTCTACTTCTCTCTCCCTCCACTCCCTCACAAATTACCACAAATTCTTTCTCTCCACTCAGCCACTATCACTGCTTTTAGTTTAAGACCCCTCTTCTCCTAGATGAGTATAGTATCTTAATCAGTCCTGTTGCTTCTTCCTTCAGTCTCCTTGTTATCCAAGTGATTTTGCCAAAAATATACCTGATAGTAACTTCTGAAGTTCACATCATTCAATGACTCTCACGTTTTCATGACAAGATACAAATCCTTTACCCCAATATCTACTTTGGAGTCAGATAGATGGGAGCTTGTATCCCAGATTCCAGGATGGTCCATCAGTGTGACCTCTGACCATTAGACTCTCTAAGCCTTTCTTTTCCTATCTCCCTGACCTCATGGAGGGTTGGGACTGTTTCACACATACAGTGGCTGACACAGAGAAGGTACTTAATGTTGATTGAAGGGAAGGCATTTTAAAAACCATATAGAAAAACCATTCTTTTTTTTAAAAAGTTACTTTCCCCAAATTCGACTTCTATATTTTCAGATGACTATAATGACTTGTGGGGATCCAGACTATTCCTACCCACTCTGAGTGCTCCTCTGTTTTTGAGAAAATTACTTCTGTATCTCACTTTCTTCTGTATAATCTGTGAGATTTAAGATAGGAACGCTTTTGAGGATTAAATGAGTGCTTCAGATGGAACAGTACTGGACACACAGTGCTTGCTAAATGTTAACTGTTCCCTATCATTTTGGAAGCGGGATCATGGCACCCTACTTTTTGGTTCTCAATTTAGTTGAAAAAAATTAAGCTTTATGTGTTGYTAGTAAAAGAAGCAAAATCTCCTGCCGTGCAAGGGAGAGACAGAGGCGAGAAAAGGGGTTGGTGAGTCGCAGCGATTTAGAACTGGGAGGGACCAGTTTGGTGTGTGCTTTTACGAACGAGGAAGTGGGGGTTGACATGTCCTAGTGTTTCATTCAAGACATACCCACAACTGTTCATTGAAAGTAGGGCTAGGCCTCCTGGGGTTGCTACAGTCAAATTCAATGTAAAAAGCAACACTCCTTCGAAGACGAGAGAGGAGCATTTAGTTACAAAAATGATCAATAATTCTGGTGTAACTAAGTTACTTGAGCGAATGAAAGCTGTCAGACTCCGAAAAACCCAGTTGCTGACGGAACCAGCTCTTTACTAACCGGGGCTTTCTGCAGAGTCTGTTAACCGAGACGGTCTCGAGTAACAACGCCCGCTGTTTCTCCCAAGACCGGAAAGCTCCGGGAAGCCTACGATGAATGGAAACCCGAGTRCCGGACGCCGCTCGCGAGGGGCGGGGCACTCGTGGACGGGGCGGGGCATCGTGAGTCACGTGTCTGGGTTCCAGGCGGGCGCRTGGAGAGAACTCTGGGTCTGATTGGTTGCTCGTAACCAGGTGACCGMAGAACGCGTTCCGGTTGGCAGGTGCAGGCCAGGCTAGCGGCCCTCAGTCGGGAGGCGGCGGCGGAAGGAGGAGGAGCTCTGACCCGGCTCTCAGCCGGCAGTGGCTGCGCCTCTCAGCGCTGGTCGGGTCCCCACCCCTTTTAAATAAGCCGGGTTGGTCGCCGCCCTCGCAGACTAGTCGGCTCTGAGAAAGCGGCCGCGGCGTGGCGGCGGGGGTGCGGCCGAGGCCGGAGCCCTGCCCGGGGCCGGGCGGCGGGGCGGGCAGGCGAGCGGCGGGCGAGGCCGCGTCTGCATGTGCGGAGCAGCCCGGGCATAGCCCGGGGCTGCCAGCGCCGGCCGCGCCATTGTTGGGGGAGGGGGCGGCCACTGAGCGAAGCGGAGTCGGGGGCGAGTGAAGGCGCGGGCGGCGGCGGAGAGGAGCGGAGGCGCCCCATGGGGAACACGCTGACCTGTTGCGTGTCCCCCAATGCCAGCCCCAAGCTAGGCCGTCGCACGGGGCCGGCGGAGCCGGACTACGAGTCTGAGCTCTATGAGGCGGCGGCTGGGGACGCAGTGGCGGTGGCCGTAGCGCCGGCGCCCGCTGCCGTGGAGCCCGCCGAGTTAGATTTTGGAGCCGGCGAGGGCCACCACCTGCAGCACATCAGTGACCGCGAGATGCCGGAAGGTAAGGGGGCGGTGGACCCCGTCCGCTCTAGGAAGCACCTCTGGCCTCCGCCGCCCTCAGGGTCCTCGGGAGGCAGCCGTCGCCTCGAGCTCCTTCCTGCCCAGAGCCGGCTTTTCCAAGGCTGGGCACCGGGATGCTAGCTGCCTCTGCTTGGCGTCCCCACCCCTTATTCTTTCCCTTCCCCGTCTGGTCAACTTGTTTCCCTCCCTATTTTGCCGCCCAGTTCTTGCCCCCTTTCACATTCCCCAAGCTGTCCTGGGACCCTCCAGTTTTCGGCCCTTTCTGGTTTTCTTTCTATTCAGTGTCTCCTGGGATTCTGCACGACTGTTTTGGTATATTTGCTTCCTTTGCTTAGTGAAAATTCAGTTGCCCCAACTTCGGAGTATCCATCCCATCCTCCCTATCCTTATCTATCCAGATGGTACCTAAGTGAAGAAGCCAGATGAGAACCTGATTGTTTATTCCAAACACCGGTTAAGGTAGCTGATATTCGAGCAATTCAGACCCAAACGTTTGAGGATTACTTTAGACTCAAATAGAGGTTGCCATAGGAGTTTATTTGATATAAAGCAGACTGTTTTAAGTCTCCTGGATAGAACTGCTTTATTCTTTCCAACTGTAATTTGAACACAAAAGAAAAAAACCGGGGGAAGGGGGCCTTAAAATAACTCTGAAAAGTGTCGAAGGTTACTGCCAGGGCTTCGGTTTTTGCTTTTGTTTTTCACCCAAAGAACATTACCCACGGAGTTCCGATTACTTTAATTCCTACTTTGACAAATGTGTCTGAAGCCCTACTCAGTCACTTAGCGGACTTCATTTATCTCTGGAGGAGAGGAGAGGAGAGGAGAGGTGAGGTGGTCCATGAGATTGCTGGTCAAACGTTTCAAAGTAGTCAAAACAAATTTAGGCTTTAATTAGTAATGTAATGGTTTTGGAAATTAAAATGCCAGACCCTGCCGGCGCTAGTTTGTTTCCATGGCTTCCCCTCCTTCCCTCCCCCCCTCCCATCACTAGAATCCTGTTCAGCACTTAGAATGTTTAAGTGAAAGGAAAGCTTTTCATGCTCTAAACCGAGAGGGATGGGAGGTGAGAGAAGAGAAAGGAACCTTTGATTTTTACCATAGAATTTTGGAAATGGACGCATCTAGGTAAATATAATTCTGAGAAACTGGATGGTTCTTGAATGAAGACTTAAATCTTTTGAAATGGAAAACGTTGTATTCTACAGATGTTTGCCCTGCTGACCCATTTGTTTCATTTAAATGGCAGAGATTATTTCATTACTATAGAGCCAGATGTCTTATAGTTCTATGTAAATTTTAGTTGGACTCTTGGTTTCTTTTGCTTGTTTGTGTCTCTTCTTTCCCTCTCTGTCTTCACAGTGCTAGGTTTCAGGCATGTTAGGCAAAGACCATCACTGAGCTTACCTCCCCAGCCTGGCACTTCTTTTCTTTTTTCTTTAGAATAATTAAGGCTCATGATGGACATGCCTTTGTAACTTTTCAGAATATTCAAAAATTGTGAAAGACTATGCATTAATTGTACCTTTAAAAATAAWGCATGTAAGTACATGTGAAAGCTGTTCTGCTTGGGTGGTGAAAGGTAAGTTTGATTTTACAAACCAATTAGTAGATTGGGGTAGYTTGGATATATTTCAAGTAAAACTTTTATTTAAATCTTTAGTATTCACAACATTTTCATGTGTGGTCTCATTTGACCCTTCCAAATACAAAGGAAGCATATGTGTATTATACCTGCATTTATGAAGAAGAAAGGAAGATAGGAACTGGCTATGTCTGATTAGAGGTAGCAGATATGCCAAATTCAGCTCCTAAGAAAAAACTTTTCAAAAATGCATTTATAAAGTAGACCCGTCTCTTACAATTTACTCCCATCTTTTAAAAATATTTTTAGTTGTATAAACAATACATTTATTTATGTATGTATGTATGTATTCAATGTGGTGTTAAGGATTGAACATTTGGCTATTATTCTTAAGTTTCCTTAGAAACAAGTTAGAGCACCAAATATAAAGTATAAGTACATTGAAAGTTTGCTGTTAATATCTTTATTTCAGACAAYTTTACATGGTTTCCCTGGAAACTAAGAAATACCTTAGATATAAAACATTTTACCTCTTCTACAATGAAGAATTGTTTTGATTTTTTTTTAGATTAAACCGTACAGTATGATGATGTACTTTTTACTCTTCGAAACATTTCAGAACAGTATTTCTTAAGATTATTTCAGAGCTGTTCTTAAGAACCAAATATGGATTTCAAATAGACTCAAGTCTGGCCTTTATTTGACAGTGTATCTAATATAACTGATGGTAATATCAGTATCACAAAATGAAGTAGTAAGATCTTATTATCCAATTTTCTTACTCAACTTTTCATATAGCCYTTTATGCTCCAATCTTAGGAGCTTTGATAATTTGCAGGCTAAGAGTGCTCTTTCAGGTGACCCCTTTGAAGGGGGTAGGATAGGGAATAAATTGGCAATATGATGTGAAAAAAGTCCTGGGCAGCCAGGTGTGRTGGCACGGACTATAATCCCAGTGAATAATTTAGCAAGGCTCTGAGCAACTCAGCAAGACCCCGTCTCTAAAATACAAAAAGGGTTGGGGATGTGACTTGGTGTCCCTGGGTTCAATCCCCAGTACCAAAAACAAACCAAAACAAACAACAGCAACCCTGGGCAACAGATCTGTCTTCTTTCTAGTAGATGATTTACTACCCTTTCCCCACCGCCATATTTAAAAAATAAAAAATTGTAGATGGACACAATACCTTTATTTTATTTATGTGGTGCTGAGGATCAAGCCCATTGCCCCATGCATGTGAAGCAAACACTTTACTACTGAGCCACAACCCCAGTTCCCCATTTTAATTACATTATCAAGTGTATTTGATGTAAAAGATTCAGTAAAAACAGAAAAATCTTTCATTCACACCAAGGCTAACTTTGGTGTTGATTATTCTGACCCTTTTATATGCATATAATTATAACGTTCTGTTTATTTTATAAAAATGAAATCACTCTATGTGCTGCATTTTAACTTTTTTAAAACAATGAAATAAGACACAAAGTCCCTGGGACAGTGCTTGATATATGCAGAGTGCTCCAGGATGTCTTTCCATGCCAGTGCTTACTGCTTTTTTTTTTTTTTTTTTAATAACTGCTAGTGTATTGTTGAGTAGTTAGAGCATCATTTATTTCCCTAACCTTTATCATTGGGCATCTTTTATAGTAAAATCAAACAGGACCATTAAATGTTTGATTCTGGGGACACAGATAAAAACACATTTTGATGACCTTTCTACTATAGAATTCAGATGGCATATTTTCCCTTGTGACACAATTTAAGTCCTTAGGATGAGTCATTTTGCAGTTAAGGTATTTTTAGTATTAAATGTTCTTATGCGAAATTAGTTATAATTGACTTTTTGMTGGACATTAGAACTCTGTTTCTCAGTACTTGGTAGTTTATTTCATGTTTTAAATTCTGAATAGCTACCACTCTAAGAGATCTGCAAATAATGCTGATTTTAGGTGTCAAATAAGAAACAGCATTAAAAGAAATCTTAGATGATAATGGGCAAACAGGAACAAYTTAACTGATTTTGAGTACACTAACATTTATTGAGTACCTTTGAATGATCAGGCAATTTTCCAGATCTAGGGCCAACAGTGGTATATAAGAGCGCTCTTCCTAACCCTGATCCTTACATGCTAGAATGGAGATGGTAGGAAGCACATAAAAAATCAAAAATATCAGRTAGTGAGGTGATGAGAAGAAAGCAACCAGCTAATGATTGGGTAGGAGAACAGTTTTACATGCCTTTATGTGGGGTGGTGAAAGATGTCTGTTCTCCTTTAGTGATGTGTAAGCTGTCCTAAAAATGAGAGGGAACTGTGTGTGGTGGGAGGAACCTTCCTTGCAGAGGGATAACTCCTTTTGGATTTCTTCTGGTGGGAAAGGACAGTACACAAGGCTGACTGTAGCAGAGTGAAAGGGATGCCAGAAGGAACGTGATGTTCTAAGTAAGGCTTTGTATGCCCAGCAGATCTTGATAAAGAACCTGGACTTCAGTAGTATTGGGAAACCATTGGAGGATTAGAGATAAGGGAATATTTTAAAAACAAACAACAACAACAAAAACAAATAGATTAGCTGTTCTGTGAGAATGCATTGTGATGCAGCAAGGGTGGAAGCAGGGAGACCTACCTGCAGGTACAGGGGAGAGCCAATAGTGATCTGGACAAAAAAGCAAAAAAGCAATATTAATAAGGGCCTAAAATGGCTAATTTAAAGAAATTGAGGCCGGCATGGTGGCGCATGCCTATAATCCCAGGGGCTCAGGAGGTTAAGGCAGGAGGATTGTGAGTTCAGAGCCAGCCTTAGCAAAGGCAAGGTGCTAAGCAACTCAGTAAGACAGATCCTGTCTCTAAATAAAATGTAAAATGGGGCTGGAGATGTGGCTCAGTGGTTGAGTACCCCTGAATTGGTACCCTGGTACAAAAAAGAAAGAAATTGAGTGAATCTAAATGTTAACAAAGATGAATAGACAAGTCACAGAAAAAGGAATTCAAGTGATCCTTAAACATACCTTCACACATAAGAAAAATGCACATGAAAACTGTGGCAATTTCTCTTTGAGGAGAAAAATCCTAAAACTTGACAATACAATCTTGGGGGTGAGGCCATGAAGGTGGTTAAATTCATGTATTGTTTATGGAAATACAAAATGTTTTGACTCCATCAATAAGCATTTGGCATAATCTCACAACACTGCAGATACATTTAATCCAGAAGTCCTGTTTAAAGGAATTTTTTCTAAAGGTACATCACCACAAATATGGAACAACACATGTACAAAGTTTGTTGTATCATTTTCAATAGCAAAATGTTGACAATAATTCAAATGTCTTGTAAGGGACTGGTAAAAGACTGGGACATCCATATAGTGAATGTAAATACTATGTAAGTATCTTGT